CACACACACACACACACTACACTGGCTTTCTTATTCCACACAAGTCCCTTCTCATTTTATGTTTCCCTAATTACAAAAATACCCTGATTCCTAGAGCAGGTTCCTCCCACTTGAGACAGTGTCCTTCATGTGCCTGGGACCCTGGCTCCTCTGCCGAGATGAGATCAGAGGTCTGCATGTGGGCTGCTAGTAGAATGGGTGGCCCGATGCTGCCACCTGGAGATGGTGCCTGTTCCTGCCAGCCCCACACTGCCCACCCTGGTGGCTGCCACCTCCCCTGGCAGGGCCCATGCCCATGCTGGGGCATGAGGTGGCTGCCAGGCCTCTGGGCATCCCTGTGCCTCTGAAGCAGCCTTGGCACTCACTCCACAGAACTCTCGAGCCCTTGGAGACGGAAGGCGCGACCCGCTCCATGCTCAGCAGCTTTCTGCCTCCTGTTCCCAGCCTGCCCAGTGACCCCCCAGAACACTTCCCTCTGCGTAAGACAGGTGAGTGGGGCTGGCAGGTGGGGACCCAGTGAGAATTAATGGGGAGGACCTCGGACATGGGATGGCCGGGAGGGGGGGGCTGAGGGGCAGCGGGGAGGAGGATAGGATGGTGTGGGGCCGAGTAACACCGGTGCTTCTGCAGTCTCTGAGCCCAACCTGAAGCTGCGCTACAAGCCCAAGAAGTCCCTGGAGCGGAGGAAGAATCCACTGCTCAGAAAGGAGAGCGCCCCGCCCAGTCTCCGGCGGCGGACTGCAGAGACCCTCGGAGGTGAGGGCCGGCAGGATGCGTGGGGGCGGCTGCTCTTGTCCGTTTGAGTCAGGTCCCACCAAGACAGGGGTCCCCCCCTCGGGGCTACTGTGGCTGGTGGTACAGGGTGTGTGCTACACACTTGCCAGGGGGCGAGTTGGGGCTAGAAGCCAGCCCCTGCTCTGTTGGCCAAGCTGACTTCTAACCAGAAGAAGGGGCACCTTAAAAAAAAAAGTATCTATCGCTCAAGAGTGTGAGCTCTGAGCAACAGCGGTTCGAGTCCTGGCCCGAGCTGAGCAGCCGCTGAGCTGCCTACAGGTGGCAGGATGGCTTAGCAAAAAAAAAAAAATTAAAAAAAAATTATTTGAGANAAAAAAAAAAAAAAAAAAAAAAAAAAAAAAAAAAGGTATCTAAAGGCCCTGGAGACTAGTGGTGGCCTGCCTTCTTCCTACCCTCCTGGGAGGAAAGTGGGACGCAGAGGCCACCCTCCTGGCTACCTGCTGGTCTCTGACTGTGCCTCCCTCTCTCCCCAACCCTCAGACTCCTCCCCTAGTAGTAGCAGCACACCTGCGTCAGGGTGCAGCTCCCCCAACGACAGTGAGCACGGCCCCAACCCCGTCCTGGGCTCGGAGGTAAGGCCTTGCTGGCTGGACTCTCCGGGGGGCAGTTCTGAGGCTCAGCCCTCCTCTCAGCAAGTGGTCCCGACCAGGCTGGGGCCTCAGGGTCTGGGCAGCCCCACCCGAGCCTCTTGGGTGTTCTGGGAAAGGCATGCCCAGGGTGGAGGTCTGGGACCAGTGACCCCTGCCCTGCTCCTCATGGCAGGCGCTCTTGGGCCAGCGGCTGCGGCGGCAGGAGACCTCTCTGGCCCCGTTCGCCTTGCCGACAGTGTCCTTGCTGCCCGCAATCACACTGGGGCTGCCCGCACCTGCCAGGGTGAGTGGCTGAGGCGCCCTCCCCCACGCCAAGCTCCCAGCTTTTCACTCCCTTCTGCCGCCTCACCCCACCGCCTTCACTGTTCTTTCTGCCAGAACCTGCTCCCCTGTGACTCCTCCCCACCTCTCCCCCAGGCTGACGGTGACCGCAGGACCCATTCGACAATGGGCCCTCGGGGGCCGGTGCTGGGGAGCTCCCATGCTCCCCTCTTCCTGCCCCATGGCCTGGAGCCAGAAACTGGGAGCCCCTTGCCCTCTCGCCTGCAGCCCATTCTCCTCCTGGACCCCTCAGTCTCTCATGCCCCCCTGCTGACTGGTGAGTCCTGCTGCTTCTCTGGGGGAGGGGCTGGGTCCCTGCAGCCTGCGAAGGGCAAGCTTGGGCAGGGCCCCATCCTTCCTGCGCCCTCTGCCGCCCCCCCATCCTCCTATGTGTCTCCCTGCTGAGTCCTTGCTTCCTTCCATTCCTCCCCATGGCTCTTTCCTTATGTCCTCCCTGCCCCATTCTTTCCAGTGCCCGGGCTTGGGCCCCTGCCCTTTCACTTTGCCCAATCCTTACTGACCACCGAGCGGTTCTCCGGGTCAGGCCTCCACCGGCCGCTGAGTCGGACCCGCTCAGAACCCCTACCCCCAAGCGCCACCGCCCCACCACCGCTGGGCTCCCTGCAGCCCCGCCTGGAGCGGATCAAATCTCACGTCCAGCTGACCAAGGTGAGGGGAGGGGAGGTGGAGAGGTGTTACCTAACTGGGCTCCTCGGGGGCGGGAAGAAGGGAGGCTTTGGAAGGCGGGGACCTGGAGGGCCAGAGCGAGGATGTGGCTCCTGGGGGCTAAGCGGTGCACGGCCCCTGGAATCCCAACCAGATGATTGCCACCTAGCCCACTGCATCCCGCCCCACACCCTGCACTCCAGCATGGCTTCTCAGCAGACATCTCCCCTCCCCAGAGGCCAGCCAAGCCAAGTGAGAAGCCCCGACTGCGGCAGATACCTTCAGCTGAGGACCTGGAAACGGATGGTGGGGGAGTGGGGCCACTGAGGGATGACAGCCTGGAACACAGGGAGTCAAGCCACGGGCAGCATGAGGCCAGAGGCCCTGTTCCTCTCCAGCAGCACCAGCAGGTATGGCAGTGCCCAAGTAAGTGCCCCTCAGAAGGTGTCGTCAGGAGATGCTGAGGCCTGGCATAGATGGGAGGGAGGGAGATAGGCTATCAGTGCAGGGGAATAGCTTTGGGACCTATGATTGCCCTGCCAGATCCACACTGAGGTGCAGACAGACAGACACACACATACCCATGCACACTTGCATGCATACGTACATGCAGGCACACTTACACTGAATGCGCACTCCGGCAGCCTGCCAGGCTCTGGGTGAAGCCATGTCTCTTGTCCCGCAGTGAGGCTGGCGTTTCACAGAGCCATACACACTCCTACCCTAGTACCTCTCCCTGTGACCAGTGAGTTGTACTGTTTCCAGGAAGGTGGCGAGGGCAGGAAGTGGGGCAGAGCCGGGCTCAGACGCATCAACCAGAGCACTGTCACCGTGTGAGTCAAGCCATGGGGTATTAGTTTGCTGGGGCTGCTGTAACAAGTACTATAAACTGGGTGGCTTACACGACAGAAATGTATTGCCTCACAGTGCTGGAGGCAAAAGGTGAAATCAAGGTGTTGGCAGGGCTGGCTCCTTCTGAGGGCTGTGAGGGAAGGAGCTGTTCCAGGTCTTTCTCATCGGCTTGTAGGTGGCCGTCTTCTCCCTGTGTCTTCACATTATCTTCCTTCTGTCCATGTCTGTGTCCAAATTTCCCCTCTTTATGAGGACAAGAGTCATATTGGGTTAAGTCTCACTTTGATGACCTCATTTTAACTTGATTATCTCTGTAAAGACACTATCTTCAATTAAGGTCACATTCCGAGGTACTAGGGGTTAGGATTTCCTTCATAAATGTGAAGTGGGAGGGGGACACAATCAGCCCATAACACATGGTAACAGTCCACACACGTGCAGTGACTCGCGCAGGTCCCTGTATCCTTGGGCAGTTGCAGAGTCCGTGGAGACAAGATCCTGGTCAGAGCTGGGCCTGAGGCTCCTCACCTAGGTTCTGGCTTTGGAGTCCTGAGAGCCCAAGGAGCTCTAGGGGAATGGGGTGGTCAGTCTGGGGTGCAGACCTTTGGAGGACGAGTGGGGGTAAGGAGCTCAGAGTCAAAGGTCAGAGCCTGGCTGGGGGGCAGTACTAGAGGCGCCCTGGAATCTCTCTAGAAAGGGGGCCTGTATGGCGGTTTCCAAGACCTTGGGCAGAAGCACATGGGGCAGGATCCTGAAAACCTGGAGCCTGAGGCCCCCCCCCCGTGTCCCTCAGGTGTTCCTTTGGGAGCAGCAGCGACTGGCTGGACGACTCCCCCGGGTAGGCACTGGGGACTCTGTGCTGCTCCCCCTGGCCCAGGGTGGTCACCGACCCCTGTCCAGGGCTCAGTCGTCTCCAGCTGCACCTGCCTCACTGCCAACCCCGGAGCCTGCCAGCCAGGCCCGTGTCCTGCCCAGCTCAGAGACCTCCTCCAGGACCCTGCCCTTCACCACAGGTAAGACTTGGATCTGAGGGGGGCAGGAGGAAGGGACTGGGACACACAGAGGCTTGGGCATGAGCCCGTGTCACGTCATGGCGTCGCTCAGGACATTTTTTGAGGCCATAGAGACCATTTTTTGAGGCCACTTTCTTGGTCTTGTTAGATCCACACAGCGTCCACGAAGCGAGGGGATAGGTGGGGGTTCTCATTTTACACCTGAGGACACCCGGGCTCCGGAAGTCTAAGGTGACAAGCGTGTGGTCAGATAGCAAGCTGGCAGTTAGGTCAGCCTGAGCATTGTCAGGATCTCCTGACAACTAGCTCCAGCATTCCAAAACATGATATCTGTTGTTGTTGTTGTTGCTCTGCTTGTAAAAAGAACTCAAAAACATTTTAGAAAATTTGAAAACTGCAGAAAAGCATAAAAATAGAATAAAAATCACTAACCAGTATCCTACTATCCAGAGGGAATCACTCTTAAATGCTGCTATATTCTGTCCAGTCTTTGTTTCAGCCGTCCGTACACATAGAAGCACCCTATGTACCATATAAAAGTTCCAACATGAGTACCATATATACATTGTACCCCGCTTTATTCAGTTAACACAGGAATACTTCATAATATAATTAACCTTTAGGAATGAGATTTTTATAGTATTTCATCGCAATATTTTATTTTTATTTAAAGGTTTCTTACTGGTTGGGCAGTTAAATGCTTACTCATTTTTCCTCATGTGAATTTCCTTCACTCATCCCTCGGATAGTTTCCCAAGGGTCCTTCTTAAGGAGTGGCGTCCCTAGACCAAATGGTGGGAGCATTTTGACGATCCCCGATGTCCTCAGACTTGCTGAAAGTGACCCTCCCACCGGCAGTGTACAGGGCCCTCCTCCAGGCACCTCCCTGGTCAGGCCCAAACAGTCACTTCCTCAAAACTGCATCTGTCTGGTCACATGGCCCAGTGTCACTGCTGGCTTCCCAGCTCCCGGTTTTGGGGTTTCTGAGGAATTCTTTCTCCTCTCGCTCCCCCTTGGTAGGCTATTTGGGTCATGACATTCAGCCTGAGACCCTGATGTTAGGCCTCCCTTTGTTAGGCTCTGTGTTCCTGAGCTCATGGTAGATGGATTGGGCTGCGTGAGGAGGGTCAGTGTGACTGACGGGAAGGCAGTGGCTGCGTGGCAGTCCTGTGGGCTGGGGCTATGTTGGTGTGTGTGTGAGGTAGTGGCGATGCCTGGGTCAGTGGCTGGGGGGGTGAGTCTGTGTGAAGGTTCAGGATGGGGGTTGAGTGCCAGGCCTGGCTCCATGTGGGTGGGAGGCAGGGGGGTGGCAGGCAGTGGGGACCCCCGGGGGCCTTGGCCCTGACTCTGCTCCTGGCAGGGCTGGTCTACGACTCTGTCATGCTGAAGCACCAGTGCTCCTGCGGAGACAACAGCAGGCACCCAGAGCACGCAGGCCGCATCCAGAGCATCTGGTCCCGGCTGCAGGAGCGGGGGCTCCGGAGCCAGTGTGAGGTGAGGAGGTGGGGCAGGGGCTGCAGAGCTGAGGAGGTAAGAGTCATGGGAGGGAAGGGGGTAGGGGCCCTGGCGAGAAGGGGGCAGCATGAAATGAGGGGCAGACGGGGTGGTGGTAATGGCAGGGAAGGGAGCGAGCAGGGCCTCAGGCGTTCTCTGGGCCCTTCCTCAGTGTCTCCGGGGCCGGAAGGCCTCCCTGGAGGAGCTGCAGTCAGTGCACTCTGAACGGCACGTGCTCCTCTACGGCACCAACCCGCTCAGCCGCCTGAAACTGGACAACGGGAAGCTGGCAGGTAGGGGCCCAATGGCACCTGGGGACCCCGTACCTCTCCAGGCTCACTCAGCCCACCCATTCCGTCTCTCTCATCCCAGCCCTGTCCAGCCTGTCCCTCTAGCGTCCTGGACTCCCCACGCCGCCCCTCGTCCCTTTGTTCCCGACCTCCACCTTGCCTTGTGCACCCGCCCAGCCTTCTTTTCCGGGCCTCCCTGCTCCTGGCCAGGCCAGAGGCTGAGAGGCTTCAGCTCACACACACGGGGCCTCTGTCCACAGGGCTCCTGGCACAGCGGATGTTTGTGATGCTGTCCTGTGGTGGAGTTGGGGTAAGTGTGCCCCGGGGTCTCGAGCAGACATTGCCACGGGTTCTTGGATCTCCTCCCTGTGTTCCGCCAGGCTCAGCCCCTGCCTTCTTGTTCTTGTGGTTCTGCCAGACCTGGCTGGCCAGGGGCTTTCCCATCATGCCCCTCTGCCGGCTAGAAGCTCCTTGGGGACAGGTGTGTCCTTGGCCCACCAGTGTCTGCAGAGTGTGGAGCCCTGTGCCTCGCACTTAGAAGGTGTTTGGTAAATGTTGCATGAGGCTCAAAGAGCAAGGCCAATGTCATGTCCCTTCATAAGACCCCAGTGGTTGGGACTGGCCATTCCGTGCCATCCTCCAGGCTGCTTGGCCTCCCTGGAGAAAGGCGTCCAAGCAGAGTCAGGGCTGCCTGGCCTGGGGCTATGGGGGTGCCTCCAGTGTCCTTGGCGACCCAGGCACTTCCCTCCCGCCCTCCAGCCTTCCTCCCTCCATCCTCACCCTGCTTGGGGGGCTTCCTACCTTATGGCGATCAGGGCTTTCCTTATCTTAAAAGATGCCTGCAGTGGTTTCCCAGCCAGGTGTGTGGAGGCAGGGGCTGGAGGGAAATGGGAACTAGAGCTGGTGGGGGCTGTTTGGGAGCCAGTCAGCGCCCTATTCACAACTCCCCATTTCTTGCCACTTTCTGATTTTTCCAACTGTTGTTGCTTCTGTTTTCTCCTCCCTCCTCTCCCTCTTTGTCTGTCTCTCTTTCTTTCTTTCTCCAGCCTCTTGAGACTCTCTCTGCCTTCCTCGCCTCTCTTGGTCCGCCTCGCCCTCCCCATCTCCCCATCATGCCCCCCCGGCCCCTCCCTAGCCTTGAGGCCCAGGGACTGGGTTTGGGGGGCCTTCCAGCCTGGGCTAGGGGCCCTGAGTGGAAGACAGTGGTGCAGACGGCCCCTCGAGCTCCGACCATCCCGCAGGGCCTGAGCAGAGCCAGCTGGGGCTTAAAACCCCCTCCAGGCCCAAACCCCAAGTCCCGCCCAGGTAACGCCATGCCCCCAACTCTGACCGGGGAGGCAGGCGCGATGCCGCCGGCAGAGTGCTGGCCAGATACGGGCTGGTGATACGGACTGAAGCTGGGAAGGAGACGTCATGCTGGGACTGGGGGATACAGGAGGCCTTGCCTTTGGGCGGTGGGGCACTGGGGAGGCAGCACTGTCTGCCCAGCTCCCTGCCCCTGGGGTTCTGGCCATGGGGCGGGCACCACCCATGGGCCCTGGCTCCTGTGGGAAGCCTTGGATGATGCGGGCCCTGACTCTGGCCCCCACAGGTGGATACTGACACCATCTGGAATGAACTGCACTCCTCCAATGCAGCCCGCTGGGCCGCCGGCAGTGTCACCGACCTGGCCTTCAAAGTGGCTTCCCGTGAGCTAAAGGTAGGAGATACAGGCTGAACGTGGGCAAGCCACGGACGAGGCGGCAGGATGGGACAGCAGGGAAGGCCAGATGCAGAGCCCCAGACTTCTCATTCCTCTAGGGTAGCACCACAGGGTTTTGGAAGGGAAATAGAGACCTCTGGGGGCCAAAATGAGATTTGAACCTTAGGCTCATGTTACTTGGTGGGGAGTCAAGCCACTGTGACCCTGGACCTTTGGTCTCTAAGAGACTCAGGGTCATGACCATCCAGGATCACTTAACACAGACCCGCTGTGTGACCCTAGGCAAGTTGCAGTGTCTCTGGACCTCCATGGCAGATTGGTTCTTTGCAATGCTGAAGTTTTATAGTCCGGGTTGGTGCTCTGGGCTGGGCACCTTACAGGGGCTTGTCCTGAGGTCCACACCCCGCATTATTTAGGAGCTCGGCTCAAGACTGTCACAGTGTCCTCAGTGTCACAGCCCCTTAGTGGGGTTTTGCAGCTAAGGGCGCAGCCCTGGGTTTAAAATCCTGGCTCCACTATTTACAGCAAGGCAGCTTTGCACGAATTGCTTAACCCGCCTAAGCTTCAGATTTCTCCTCAACTGTAGTAAGCTAGAGATAGTAATAATCTTTATTTTATGGAGATGTTTTGAGGATTAGATATCATTTACCTCAGATGTTGTGAGGATGAAATCCAGTGTTTCTAAAGTGCTTACACAGGGCCAGGCACCTAGTGTTGGCCCAAGAAACAGTAGCTGTTGTTATTACAAGGTGCTAACAGCGAGGACACACCAGGGTGGTGGGTTCTGTGTTCATGTCCAGCCGAAAAGCAGAGGATGCTGGCCTGGGGTCTGAGTAGCGGGGGCCTGCAGATGCATTCTGGCTGCAGTCAGCTGTTGCCCCATGGCTCCTTCTCTGGGTAGGAGCCTAGGGCTGGGGGCAGGTTCATGGAGAGGTGGGTCAGAGGGCTGGCTGTTTGGATGATAAGCATTCTTTCCTTTTCCAGAACGGTTTTGCTGTGGTTCGGCCCCCAGGACACCATGCAGACCACTCCACAGCCATGTAAGGCCTGGGGAAGGCCTGGGTGGGATGAAATGCGAGACATTCCCTTCTTCCCCTGAGCCCTATTGCGGCTAGGCCGGGCCAGGATCCGGTGGACAGAGGAGGCTGGAGAGGTGGAGACACTGAAAAGAATGGGCTGGCAGGACCTCTTTCTCCTCTTCCCAGGGGCTTCTGCTTCTTCAACTCAGTGGCCATCGCCTGCCGGCAGCTGCAACAGCAGAGCAAGGCCAGCAGGATCCTCATCGTGGACTGGGTAGGTCCTGGTGCCTAGGCCCTTCAGACCCAAGAGCCTTATGGAGAGAGCTCTTAGCCTGGTGTCAGATGTGGCATCATGTGCTAGTTCTGCTTTGGCCTCCTGGCCCTCCGTTTCCCCCGGTGTAACATGCGGGTGAAGGTAACACCCACATCACAGGAGCTTTTGGGAGGGCCAGAAAACGTGTATGGGAAGGCCTTCAGCCATAACCGACTCCCACAACAGGAGGAGCCATCCGAGGGCTGCCTTTGGCCTCTGTTGGCTTCTTGCTGCAGATCTCATTTCCGCATTTCCCCTACTGGTAGTGACAATATCAGTAACAGCAGGAAACATCAATATACCACTAATTGCATATGACATATTTAATCCTGAGTACAACCTGGTTTGCAGAGGAGGAAAGTAAGCTCAGAGACGTTAGGTAACTTGCGCACAGCCACACACCTCGTACATCCCGAGACTGGGATTTGAAGTCAGGTGGTTAGCTCTAGAGTACGTGCCTCTTTAACTACCAAGCTATCCCACTCTGCGCTGACATCTGCGAAGGAGACAATCTGAAGCCGAAACTGCGGACAGCGGAGGCGCTTTCCACACGTGCGCCCATGCACGGTTCTGTGAGTTAACAAGTGCAGGGCCATAGCTCTTCCTAGGATGGACGGCGCCGGGATTCCTGTACCTGCCCCTTTGTAACTAAGTAGTTGGAGCCACTCAATGGTTTAGCTCTAGGAGCCCCAGTTTTCTCACCCCCAGTCTAGGGTCCTGACCCTCAGAATGGTCACTGACCTCAAAACCCTTCTAACGTGTTTCAGTTTCCATCTCGCTGCTTTCAGACCTCCCCTAATCTGCCCATCTCCCTGCACAGGATGTTCACCATGGCAACGGCACCCAGCAAACCTTCTACCAGGACCCCAGTGTGCTCTACATCTCCCTGCATCGCCATGACGATGGCAACTTTTTCCCGGGCAGTGGGGCTGTGGATGAGGTAACCGCATGTCGGGTCTACCCCTTCCATCCCCATTGACTCTCCCTCATGGCTCTGCCTCTGTCGCAACCAGCTGTGTGAGCCTGGAAAGATTGTTTAGCCTCCCTGATCCTCAGTTTCTCCATCTGGAAGTGAAGAAGGTGGACAAGCTGATCTTGCAGCACGAATATCCTGGGATTCCCCTCCTGGGACTCTGCTTTCCTCACGTCTCTCCTGCATCCTGTTTTCCAGGTGGGAGCTGGCAGCGGTGAGGGCTTCAACGTCAACGTGGCCTGGGCTGGAGGTCTGGACCCCCCAATGGGGGATCCTGAGTACCTGGCCGCCTTCAGGTAAGTGCTCTGGGTGCCCATCAGGGCTACCCTCTCCTGCCCCTTCCCCCAACAGCACGAAGTTGGAGGTGATCAGTTGGCTTGTCAGCCTGTCCTTATCCAATTACTAGACATTATATGTCAGCCCCAGAACGGAGGCAAACACAAGGAAAGGCACTGGCTTCTAGTGGCCTCCACTCCCAATAGGAAGACAGGAAACAGAATGAGAAAGTCAAAGGATGCTTTATAAAATCACACATTATCATGAGCCAATGCTGTACTGAGTGTTGAGAGACGGGCAGGGTAGAATGAGCAGAGTTCCCACCTTCAGTCAAAGAAACCTGCCTGGAGGAGGGGGGCTTATTGCAGGAGATGAGAAACTTAAATTGTGGAGAAAGAGGGAAAGCAGATGGTGTCCATATTGGGGGAGTTGCTTAAGAAAAGCCACTCTAGAATAGCAGCTTTAGGCTGTGTTCAGGAGTTCTTATATATCTCACTCTGTGGTCCCTGTACTCCCATTTGAGAAAAGGAACACCTGGAAGTAGGTCTCCAAATACTTTTCTGGAGATATTCTCTACGAGAGCTAATTCTGTAGGAGCCCTGGATTGTTGTTCCTGGTGTCTGCGTGCCCTGAGCCTGGGGCCTTGAAAGACATCAAAATGGACCCCAGGGGTGGGTCAGGGATGGAGGGAGGCAGCTGTGGGGGACAGGAGGGGCCGAAGAGGAAAGAATGGATCTGGGTGACCCAGGACCTCAGAGTCTAGTCATCTTGGTCAACTCCTAGGTGGCCAGTGGCAAGGTGTGGTCAACTCAGTCTAAAGTGGACAGCAACTCAATACAGAGTATTTCTAGTCCCTGAGGCTCAGTGACCTGCCCTTTCTCTGTGGCCCTGCCCGCTGTGCTCTACAGACACAAACATTCTTCTTTCATTCCCTCTGGTACCTCATCCTTGGCTTCTTTCTGCCTTACGCCAGTTAAGAGCACCGGGTGGCTGAGTCCTTAGGCTATGCCAGGGACGTGGGTGGCCAGCCAAGGTCAAAGAAGTCAGAGGGATTCGCTAATCCTGCTGGGTGTCTTGGAGTCCTAGGAGCAGGGTGGCCCACAGTAAAGCTGGCGGGAGAGGGCTGGCACCAGGCAGGGGCCCTTGGCCTCTGTCCCCACAGCCCTGCACAGTGTGGTGAGCCCCTCTTCTCACACCCTCACAGGATAGTTGTGATGCCCATCGCCCGAGAGTTCTCTCCGGACCTGGTCCTAGTGTCAGCTGGGTTTGATGCTGCCGAGGGTCACCCGGCCCCGCTGGGTGGCTACCGTGTTTCTGCCAGATGTAAGGAAGGCCCAGCCCTGGGGGTGGAGGGGAATAAGGAAGGGGGGCTAGGCTGGAAGGGGAGGACTGCCCAGGTCAAGGGGAAGGTGGCAGTGGCCGGCCCAGGGCCATGAGTGTGAGGACTAGAGTATGGCAGCTGGCCCTGGAGTTCTCTGAGCTCTACTAGCCCAGCACAGCCCAGGGTCCCTTCTATTAATCAAGTCCATTCACTAAGTCACACCCTGGGGACTTATGTCCAATAGACAGGAGGCTCAGCCATAGTACTACCCCCCACCCCAAATGTGTCACTCCCAGGCTGGGCTGGCAGCTTCTCCTGAGGGAAGATGGGGAGGAATAATGTTCTCAGAACAGAGGGAGCACATTCAGCCTACGGGGCCACAAGGCCTGGAGGACAGACAGAGAAGATGGTATGGCTCCGTGAAAAGGACACTGGCCGGAGTCACTGCTGCTGGTTCAAGTCCCAGCCTTGCCACCAACTAGCTGTGGGCCCTTGTACAAGTCCCGTAACCTCTCTGAGCCTTGAGTGAGGTATAATAATAGGTTTTATAAGGGGGTCCTTGTGAAAGCACTTGGGAAAGTAGAGAGTTATGCACCTGCGTTATTATTTACAAGGGAAGAAGCAAGCAGGGGAATAATAGGTAGAGAGGGTCCATTGCTCCTCCACTCTCACCTCGTCCATTCTTCCCCTCCCAACCATCTAGGTTTTGGGTACATGACGCAGCAGCTGATGAGCTTGGCGGGAGGTGCGGTGGTGCTGGCCTTGGAGGGGGGCCATGACCTCACCGCCATCTGTGACGCCTCCGAGGCCTGTGTGGCTGCTCTTCTGGGCAACAAGGTAAGCTGCCTGCCCCCCATCCGTGCCTCTGTGGGGCAAGGAGCCCGGCTATCCCAGGACTGCCCCAAAGACCAGGCAGATGGGGTGCCTCACAGATAAGGTGGGGGTGGCTAGGCCTGGAATGAGGGGGATAGAGTGGATACCTCTTCCCCAGGTCAGGTCTAGAGCCAGCACCTCCTGCCCTAGCCCGAGCCAGAAGCACATGCCTATTTATGCCCAGAAAGCCAGAGTCCTTGGAGTGGGAGAGAGCTGGGTAGGGCGTATCTGAGACTGGCGGCTGATGTACTATTTTCTTCTATAGGTCGACCCCCTTTCAGAAGAAGGCTGGAAGCAGAAACCCAACCTCAACGCCATCCGCTCTCTGGAAGCCGTGATCCGGGTGCACAGTGAGTGTGGAGAGAGGACACCCGCTGACCCCAGACTTGGGAGAACCTGAGAAGTCTGCTCTTCCCAGTGACCAGGTCCCCAGGGTTTCTGCCGCCAGCAGAAGGGCTGGTCAGGACCAGGCTTCCTATAAGTTACCCTGGCCAGAATGGTGGGGTAGCCCGCCCAGGAGTGGAGAGCCATGGAGCCCTCTAGGTGGACCCAGCAGGGACCACCAGACAGTGACCTCCTCAAGGCAGGGCTGGCCTCCCATCTCCAGCCAAAGCCCTAGGCCAGGCCAGGCCAACAAGGACACTTAGGCCTTGTTTGCGCAAAGTGCTGGTTCCTACCTTGACCCTCAGTCCTGGCTGCAGGGGTCTCAAGAGCTCTGCTTGCTTTGGGGGCTGAGCCTTAGAATAATCCCACATTTGGAAAGCACTTAAGATTTTCAACTTCAACTCAGCATCTATGGAGCACTTTTCGTAAAGAACCCAAGATCTATGCTAGGGATACAAAAATGAATAAAATAGATTTCCTCACATCTGGGGCTCAGGAAGGAAGCGCATGTAATGTGAAGATGCTGCTGGTACTTTGTACGGAACCTGCACGCTGGGCCAGGCACTGGGTGTGTTCCCTGGACTTGACTTCTCATAACCGTATGCAGGGTGGTCATGTCCATGGTCTAGGTGGGACCGTGGGAGCCCAGGGCAAGTGACTGGCTTTCCGATAGCCACACACACAGCAGCTATGGTGATGCTCAACTCTCCTGGTGCTGTGTCCTTCCCTCCTCTCACCTGCTCCTGTCCTGTGTGCTGGGCTGAGCCTTGCTTGGGGCTGATGCGAGTGGGACCGACCCTGTGCTCCAGGAGGCCAGGGCTTGGGATCCGTGAGGTCACTGTGTTACAGACCCCGTCTGTGGAAAAATGGGCCCTACCGGTCCTCTTAGGAACCCCACACCTATAGGGATGGGTCAGAGGTGGCCTTTCAGCTAACGGGGTGGGAGGAATGGCTTGGGCACCTACTAGGCCACCTCACAGCCATGCCAAATCTGTTCTGCAAACCCTGTCATGGTTGCGGGGGCCAAGACGGAGACCGCATTGTGTTGAAGGTAGAGGCAGGTGAGAGAGCTGACCCCACACTGATGACACACACGATACTCTTGGACCCTTGGTCTGAGATGTACCGTTTCAATATCAGTCTAGGATGCGTGGCATGGCAGGGGAGGGACTTATTTTCCCCAACCCTTTCTGACTTGGCTTCTTGTCTCAGGTAAATACTGGGGCTGCATGCAGCGCCTGGCCTCCTGTCCAGAGTCCTGGGTACCCAGGGTGCCAGGGGCAGATGCAGAAGAAGTGGAGGCAGTGACTGCACTGGCATCCCTCTCCGTGGGCATCCTGGCTGAAGAGAGGTAATGCCAGACCCCTGACTAGCAGCCTGTCCACCCCTCAGGCCCTCCCAACTTGAGGATCCCAGATCCTGCCACAGCCACCCCAGCCTTCTCAGGCTTCCTGGGACGCTGGGCTGAGGCCCTTCCTGCAGCCCTTGGCCCTCCAGCAACCCCACATTTGTCCTCCCCCAGGCCCTCCGAGCAGCTGGTGGAGGAGGAAGAACCTATGAATCTCTAAGGCTCTGGAAAGGATCTGCCCGCCCACCCTGCCCTTTGGACCTGGTTCTCTTCTCACTTCTGGCAATAGTACCTGTTCCCAGGGTCTTCAGAGATCCTCTGGGCAGGCACTTGGGGCCAGAGGACCGCCCCTCGACAGTCTGAGAAGGCCCCTCGGTCTAGGCTAGGGACCAAAGAGGACCCTGAGGGGACAGGCTGGGCAGCTGGCCAGACTCCAGTAGGGCTCTCCTTAGAGCCTGCCCCTGTGGGGTCCAGGCCCCTGCTGGGTCCCTGTTCCTCAGGACTGCACGGAGGAGTACTGGCTCGGTCGGGCCCACACATAACCACTATTCTTGGCTCTGTAGACCCTGGACTTTGCACACAGCCCCAGGCTCCACACAGAAATGTGAACTTGGCTTCAGCCAGGGTGGCCCTTCCTAGGCTCTGAGGGCTGGAGTGGGGGTAAAGGGGATGGATAAGAGGAGCCAAGGCGTCCCAGGTCCCTGAGAGCAGGTAGTGTCCCTCCGCTTGACTGCGTACTCAGATGACTCCGGAAGCTACCCTGGACCACCACTGGGCAGTGAGACACAGCTTTCTCAAGAGCAGTCATCAGCAGGCCCCCCCCCCCGCCCCCGTCTGGTCCCTGCTCCTCCCAGAGGCCGCCCTACATTGACCATCTCAGTGCCCTGGTGGAGCAGACAGGTGCTCTTGGAGTTCTGTGCTTCCTGATCCAATGGTGCCAAAACCTCATCTCCCCTCAGAAGCACGGTGTGACCCCCAGGGACCCCTCAGTCACTGCCCCCCTTCAGGAGCCTTCTGTTTCTGGGATCTTCCCCACCCCAGCTCTGACTCCTGCCCCACATAGGACTAGCTTGACTGAGGGGAAAGGGGGTGGGAGTGTGGGTGCAAGACATGGGGGGAAGGAGGGGCTGCCCTGGCAAAGTCAAGGTTTCTGGGGTCCAGGCCTGGGGCCAAGAAGGAAAGTGTGAGAGAGAGAGAGAGAGAGAGAGAGAGAGAGAGAGAGTGAGTGTGTGTGTGTGTGTGTGTGCGCGCGCGCGCGCGCGCGCGCGCAAGCACATGTATGCACACGTGCATGCATGTGTGTCTTCCCTAGAACCACCATGCCCTGTGTATGTATGCATGTTTTTGTAAAAAAGAAAAAAATGGAAAAAAATCTGAACAATAAATGTTTTATTTGCTTTAAAAGGTGCATGTGAAAGGGCCTCCTGGAGATGAGGGGTGTGCAGTGGACACACAGCTGCACAGCACAGTATGTGACTGATTAGATGTGGAGGAGAAGGGACCAGGTGGGGCTAAGGGGCAGCCCCGCTCCAGCTGCTGGCCCTTTTGTGGCAGCTGCTCTGAAGGAAGAAGCCATTTTGAACACACCCTAGCTATCCCTGCCTGCGCCACCTGGGTAATAAAGAGGCAGCAGCTTTGGGCTGAGTCCATAGACAGAGGGCCCATTGTGGCGGGTGGGGGTGGGGGGAGGGATATATAGACGCTCAGACCTGGCTCACTAAGGCATCCCCAAAGAGTCCTGAAGACCTACCTGAGTTCTAGTCCCAGCTGGGAGCTCAGATAAGTCATATCACCTCCTGGAGCCTCTGTTTATCAGTTAGTCTCCAGAAATTAGACACTGTTTATGGTTCCTGCTCTAATGCACCATGACTTCTTAAGCATATACTAAGCCTAGGAGAGAGAACAGAATGAGTGAGGTAACAGGCCCAAACAAGCTCACCCAGTACAAGCAGAGAGGACAGTGCCAGGGCTGCCAACGCCTGTCTTTATGGTTCTGAGTGGGCCAGGCTTCTCCAGCCAACGGGAGTAACAGCCTCATTACCTCACACCTGGCCCTAAGCCTGCACAGCCTGAGCATATGAAGGGAAGCGGGTTTGTCCCCTTCCCATCTGTCCTGGCCTCTCGGGTGACAGATACTAAATACCATTGGGGTGGCGAAGGCTGTGTCCATGGGCATCCTTGCCCTGGCCAGTGGTGTGCTGGGAGCCGGAGGAGGAGAGCCAAGCTAGTGGGTTTCCCCATGCCAAAGGGACTGTAGGGAGAGGGCCTCCAGCCCCTGAGACACCAACCCCCTCACCTGCCCGCCAGGGCACATTATGAGCTAAAGAAATGGCTTAATGAGACAATTGGAGACCCAGCACCACCAGCCCTCTCACCCAATGCTCCCACAAGTCACCCCCCAAGAAACAACCAGAGGCTGTCTGATACAAATGGCCGCTGTATTTCTGCTAAAGTGACAGTGACACGGATAAGGCAAAGAGCTGACGGGTTGGACACAGGTGGGAAAAGGGTCGATAGTGTAAAATGGCAACCTAACAAAAAGATGCATGTACCAGTGGCCCCTTCCCTCCCGAGACAGGTGAGCCCTTGGGCCAGTGTATGTGTGGAGAGCAGATTTTGTCTTTCAGAAGGGAGATTAAAAAAAGATAAGCTCTAGGTGAAGGGCAGTGATAAGGCGCAGCAGTGGAGGGGGGAGGGCATCTCATGGCCAGAGGGTATTCTGGGTGTGATGGGTGTGATGGGCAGGTGTGACAAGGTGGATTGGGAAGCAGGGCTGGTGATGTGTGGGCAAGGTCTGAGGGGCCCTTCCAGCCTACACCATGCTGCCCCCTCCCCAAAGCCCTTCTAGGGGCAGGAACACCTTTAAGACCCGTAGTCTGGCCTCGTTTGGGGAGTCCTACTCTGGGGGGTGTGGTACAAGTAAAAGGGAGGGTTTCAAGTGGTGAAGGAGATAACTGGCTCTTGCACACTCATGGGAGACCAGCTGTGGGTGGAAAAGGGACACCGAACTCTCTGCTCAAGTCCCCAATCCCTTTGGGGAAACAACAGGATGGGGTGCTAGGGTTGGGGCTTGAGAGGTCTCTATTAGAGAGCCCTTACTTGACCTGACCGCTCTAGGTTCCCGCCTGGGCCTGAGGGAGAATTCTTGGGGTGGCAGGGAACAAACCACCTGCCCCCTGCCCCCAGGCATAGGTCAAGGCCTCGCTGCCCCTTCACTCTTGCCCTGGCCCTGCTTACAAAGATTCCTCACCGAGTGCTAAGAAAATAGATCCATTTGAAAAGCTGCCCTACAGTCAGACCAATGAGGGGCAACATGGCAGGACCCCTTTCCACAGCACCTAGGTCTCCCCGGAGGGAAGGGGCCAGCTTCCCAGGAGACCAAGGTCCTCCTGCTGTGTATTTTCTGCCACAGTTCTGGCGTCCCCAGGGGTGGGGCAGGCCCACCTGATGTCTCAGAAGCTGAGTCCAGGTCCTGAGGGCCCCAGGGTGCAGACGCCTCACCCTCTGGGTCAGAAATCGCTGAGGATGCTGATGTCGGCAAAGTCAGCCCGGTAGCGGTGGGCGTAGAGGCTGAGCAGGAAGGCCCATTTGAAGGCGATGAAGCTCCAGACGCAGGATAGGTAGTAGCTGTTGGGGTCTGTGAGGCCTGCAGGGGAGAGGAGCCCGAGTGTGACTCGAGAAGGCTTTGCCCTCCTCCCCAGCCCATATGCCAGAAGCCTGGGGCCACCCTTCCCTACAACCTCCAATAGAGGCTGCGCCAATCCTGCAGAGATTAAGTGTGATATGTCAGGGTTTGCAGGCAGAAGGCAGTGGAGGTGAGGGAAGGTCAGGACTGACCAACCACAGGTCTGTATCATCTACTCTGCTTCCGTGACTTTTACCCTAGGCCACTTCCAATGGGCTTTATTTAGCATCAGACTCCCTAGGGGCAGGGACAAGGACCTTTGGCTCCTTGCTGGTTGCAGCCACCAGGGGGCGCTCCTATCCCACTACACGGTATGGCAATTAACCATACTGGGTGCTGACTTGCAATGTGCACTGTGCTCCACATTTCCCTTGCATTTTACTGAACCCTTCCAACTCCAGGGGTGGGTACTCAATTCTCCCCACTTTAACAGTGAGAAAACCCAGGCACTGGAAGTAGACTGCCCAGTCCCCTGGATGTACACTGGAACCAGGTCCGGGATCACAGGTCTACTGCTGAGCCCCACACTGGTCCTCCCCTCCCAGACCGGCCCTCACTCTGGTGTCTGGTGATGGCCAGCACAAGGAAGGTGCAGAAGGTGGCGATGGAGACAGTTGAGAAGAGGACGCCCACGAAGAAGAAGCCACGCAGCCCCTTGAGCCAGGTCCTCCAGTAATCTTGCATATACATCACGTGTGTCACCAGGACCCACAGCGCCAGCACACCTGTGGGACAGACTGGGTCAGCTGGACTGACGCTGCAGTTCTCTCTTCACCCAGCCGCCAGCCAGTGAACCTTGGGACCCCCAGGGCCTTAGAGATCTAATTGGCCAGAACTATTTGCGTAATACTACTAAGATAATGTTGGCCTTTTTACTTTCATTCCCTTCTGAGTGGAGTTTTCTGGAGGCTGCAGGGCCTGTGATAGCACAAGGACTTGAATGCAAAAGCAGATAAGAGAATCTAGCTGCCTTCTCTTAGTCACACATTAAAGAGATTGGCAAAGATATAAAGCCATGTCATTCTCCCTAATTCTTTTGTTTTGAAAAACATGACTATTTCTCACACAAAAAATTGTTACTTATGTTAACACAATGTTATTTTTAATATTGGTTCAAAATATGCTCAGTTTTAACTTCTAATATGGTACGTATTGACAGATACAACCCACATAAACAAAATTTCCTTGGGGGTTTCATGACTTTTCAAGAGTGTAAAGGGGTCCTGAAACTGGAGTTTGAGAACTGCTCCAGTCCCGCCTGCTTTCCAGGGACTACCCACGACCTCTGAGAGCCACAGAAGCGGGAAGCAGTTCCCCCACCCTGACGCTGCTCCTCCAAGCAGGCCTGCAGGGGCCACAGCCTCAGTGTTTGAAGACTCTTCTTGCCCCTGGCCAGGCTCCATGTCACCCCCTCCAACGCACAACCTTTCCTGAGCCTGCCTTCTGGGCCTGGCTGGGCGCTTCCCCTACAATGCCAGCTGCCACTCAGCCAATACAATGAGTGCCCTCTGTGCCAGGCTGTGCCTGTCTCACAGCCCAAAGAGTGGAACAAATATCAATTCTACTGTCAAGGGTCTGGAGTGGGGCCATAGGGTCCCCGCAAGGGAGGAATGAGGTAAGAGGCAGAGCCAGCTGCAGGCCTGGCCGGTGTGGGCTGCACAGGCTGGGGATCCTAGGAGTCAGGAGACCTGGGCACACGTGCACAGGAAGGATGGACACCTGGCTGGGGAAAGTGGTTATCTGTGGCAAGAAAGAGAAGAAAGGGAAGTTGATAGGGAGGTGGGGGTGGGAGAGTGCTTTGGCTGAATCTATGATATTTTATTTCTTAGTGTAGTTGAGTGTAAGGGAGGTTTGTTAACTCATCTATCCTTTTTCACATGCCCGAAATATTGAATACATATTTTTTAAAGTTAGGGAAAACAAAAGGCAGAGGGGAGCAACATCACATGCTCCGGTTACCAGCTTAGAAGCTGTTACAATTCAGGCGGCCTGGCAAGGGACAAAAATCATGAGACTGCAAGCCAGGAAGCCTCGGGCCTGGCACTGCTGTGCCACTCGTGACCTCTCAGAACCTTGGTTGTTTCACATCTAAAAATGGGTGAGCCCAAAGGTCCTGCCATCCTGGAAACTTGGCCACTCCAGGGTTCTACCCGAGTGAGGACACAGCCCCGCCAACCCCCGCAGCTAGCCCTCCCACCAGTTCACCCACACTCTCCCTGCTCTGCCCCTGCCCACACCCCCAACCTTCCTCAGGGATGGGGACCTGGAAAGGTCCCTCCACCCCTGAGATCAGGGTGAGCCAGGGCCAGCTCCATCCTGGACTCGCAGGAAACAGGAGCAGGTCAGACAGAGGTGGACAGATCAGACAGAGGAGCAGGTCAGACAGAGGTGGACAGAGCAATCCCACGGCTTCAATTTACATCGTACATGATTTGGATTGCGTGCCAGCCACCCTTCCCAGAGTCCTTCCCCATCTTCTCACGTGCATCCTAAGTGTTCCGCTGGGGAGCTGTTTGGTTTCTCCAAAGGCCCTAGGAAGGGGGCTGATGGTCTCTGAGGTGCATTCGAGGAATAGTCAGATGCGCACCTGCTGGGACAGCCCCGCTTGCCCTGTCTCCTCAATATGCCATGGAGGGGCTGGAGTAGATGAGCTCTAGATCCTTTACCACGCAAAGATTCTGGAAGCCAGCTCAGGAGAAAAATAAGGTCAAGCAATTCCTCTGTGACTCAGCAATTTCTGGGTTAGGAAATGGTGAAATAGGGGCCTGTGGAAATGCCATTTCTTAGTCCACTGGCCATGCTCCAGCGGTGCCCCCCAAACACCCACCCCCACATATACCCATGTACCAAAAAGAGCTGCGCAGGAGGAAAAGGAAGGTGGCCATCTTGGGTGTTCCAGGTCCCAGCTCTTCATGTTAAGCAGCAGGCACAACCGTTCCCACCTCTCACTTCCCCTGCACACAGACCTCACCTCCAGCTCAACACAAGCCAAGTCTGGAAGCAGGCCCATTCTCACCCACCCTGGCTCCCACTACTTTCCGTGGAAGAGGGACCTACCCCACCAACTCCACCCAAGGTGGTCAGTGAAGGAGCAGGAGCCCCCACTCCCATCCCCAGATTGTCCCTCAGCCCTGCTCCCTTCCCTAGGACACTCTGGGCTCCAAGCAGCCTGATCTGCACAATTCAGGACAGAAGGGACAGGTCTCCAGGCCTACCCGGCGGCATGTCCGCACCAGGCCTCACTCCTCACCCCACCCCACCTGCTTCAAGGAGCAGGGCCCCTGCTCCACTCGGGGCTCACAGGTGACAGGCCAAGGGCAAGGAAGGCACATGGTTGGTCATGAAAGTATCCCCAAGCGGCTGGGTTGGAGGTGAGTTGACAAGAGGAGCCCAGGGGAGCCCAGGGGGAAATGCAGACAAGTGGAACACTGGGCCTGGGCCCTGCTATGTTCTTGTACTCCTGCCCTGGGGAAAGGCAAGGCCCCGAGCCTCAGTGCTCCTCTGGCTCACAGCTCCCATAGGAAGAACTGAGCCATTTAGATTCCTGGGGCAACTTTCCTATTATTTTTCTCTTTCCTTGTCTGTTAGACGTAGAGCAGCAGTCTGTGTATGTTTCTCCAGAGTTCTCACAGCAACACTATTTTTTCTGCAGTTGCCTTTCCTCCAAGCCTCTTCTACCCAGATACCACCAGGAGGGGAGAGAGCGGGTCTCCACCCATGAACGCTTTTCCTGCTGGACCCAGGGGATTCAAGCTGACTCTGCCCCAGAAACCAGCACCCCCACGGGCCCCTGCCTGGTACACATGGAGAAGGAACACGCTGGGGCTACCCTCTGGTGACTCGGCAGTTTCTAGGCTGAAAAATGCCAAGTCAGAAGTGGGGTGCTCATGAGTCAGTAAATCCGCTGATGCTTCACCCCCAAAAGAGGAAGAAGGCTGACTGGCTACAGACTCTCCCAGAACCCACTCAGGGTGGAGAGGGCACGTGTGTAGCCATGGCCTGGCAAGCCCTCCCCTGCCTACCACCGCCACCACCACCGCCACCATCACCACCAGGCAGCTTTGGCTCTTCCATGGCCACCTTCTGGTTGTCGAAGGCCAGACTGTCAGGGAGGCACCAGGCCCCTGCTCCAGCTGGTTGCTGTCCTAGTGCCTCTCCCTTCAGGCAACTCCACAGCTGGCCTGCCTCAGAGGGAAGCTTGTGGGAAGGGAGAGAGGGCCGAGCTGGGGTCAGCGGGAAACCCCAGCACTCCCTAGAGTATAAGCTAGAGGGCCTATTCCACTGCGCTCCAACAGGCAACTGTGAGATGCACATGAGAGGACACAAAACTGCAATATTTCAGATCAGAAAGGGGGTCTCAGAGATCATCTCCTTCAGTGGCCTCTCCTCCGACTCCTTACAGATGAGGGAGCTGAGGTCCAGGAGACACTGATGGGCCCAAGGTCACATACAGCTAACTGGGGCTCACTCCACCAGGCCAGACTCTAACACACCCAGCTCTGATCCCAGGGCTGGCCCTCCCTGCTCACCCGCTACCAGCCTCTCATCTCAGGTCTTATAGTACAGCAAGAAGGCCTGGCCTGAAGATACCACCTTCCCGCCTTCCTGAGGGGAGAGCAGCAAGAAACAGGAAAAAGCTGCAAGGAGAAGAGAACCAGGAGAAACGGTACACGGCTGGGGAAGTAGCCGGGGTCTGTAGATAACAGAGCAAAGATGGCCTGGCTGCCCTCAGGGAGGACAGCAACCCACAGGTGGTAGGGCATCCAGCAGACATGCGAGCAGCCCAGCGAGGGTGCCCACTGCCCTTCCTTGGTGACCCTCCGTGCTCTGCTTGGCATTGCTTAGGCTGTGGTTATGTATGCCCCTCTTATAAGGCAGAACCCCCATCTCTCATTCCTTCTCTACCCAGGAATGGCACTCAGTAAGCTCGGGAGCAATGAGTAACTCTAGTTATTTTTCGTTAGTTCATTTAGGGCTCTTTGGGCAGAGGATTTTAGTAATGGAATAAGATCATCATATGTAAAATCATTATCCTTAGATGTATTTTTTTCCCCAAAAATTCTTTTCCTACACATATTATTTCACATAGCTGGGTCACCCTGGGCAAGCTCTTTACTCTAAGCCTCAGTTTAAGGCTTATCTATAACATGGGCACAATAATAATGCCTATTTCATAAAACTAATGTAAAGATTAAATGAGATGACGGAAGCAGGTTGCTTAACACAGTGCCTGCCACATAGAAAGCATTAAAAAGAAAAAGTTAGCAAGTGGAAATAATTGTGTCGTCTTCACATCAATTTTACACCACCAACAGGTTAATGGCATGCCCAAGGGGTGCACAGCTAATACAGAGCGTTGGTGAGGACAGGGCCTCCGCCAGCGCACTCACATTCTCACTCTAGTACTTCCACCCCTTCCCTCCTTGAGGCACAGAAAGGGCGGCAAGCGGGATTTAGCAGACCTTGGTGGAGGGGCCACAGCACAATGGTGGCGAAGAGACACCAACGTAGCGGAAAGGAAAAGTCCAGTTTCCATCAAATCCCTAGGCAGTCCTCCAGGTCTCCGCTGAGGATTCTGCTGTGGTGGAGCCCACACTGGAAGGCAGCCGGTGGGCTTCCCCAGGAATCCCCAGCCGTTCTTTCCACTTACCTGCCCCTTCTCTGCCCTCACCCATCCCCCAGAACAGGAGTGTGTGTGTGTGTGTGTGTGTGTTTGCGGGTCTTCACACCTAGATATGTAATAGCCGTGTGAAGGTGGCAAGCGAAGCGGGAGCGCAGGGAGGACGCTGTCATCGGGCAGGAGGGCGGAGGGGCCTCGAGCTAACCCGGGCAGCGGCGGCGGCACGGCCGACTTGAACAAACAGCCCCAGCCGGACGTCAGCACCCGGGGTCGCGCCAGGACTAGGCTGGCATCAGGTCCCGGTGGCACCCGAAGAATGCCCGGGCCGCGCCGGGCCTGCGCTGCCAATGGATGTTTTTGGGTAAACACCCCACCCGCTCCCCGGGGAAGCGCCGCCCTCGAGGAGCCTCCGGAGCAGCTGACAGCGCCTCCCCGCGCCTGCATGCCCGCAGCCGGGCCCCAGCGCCCCGGGCGCCCAGGGGTACCTGCGAGTCCCCCCATAGCCGCTGTTGCCGGCTGGCTGTAGACCACTGTCCAGACGAGGAAGATGGAGAAGCCGGCCACGGAGCTGAGGCCGGAGTAGGCGGCGCGGAGGCCGAGCTGCTTGCGAGACGGGGCCATGGGCTGCGATCGCCGGGCAGGAGGAGCGCCGCGGAGAGTCACAGGTGCAGGGCCCAGAGCGGGGGCTGGAGCCGAAGCCGGGAGCTGTTGGCCGCACGGCGCTCCGCCCCGGCCCGCCCCCCGCGCCGCCGGCACAGCGCCCTCCCCGGCCGGAGGCCGCTGGCTCCCGGAGCCGCAGACCGCGCGTCTGTAGTTTGGCACAGTGAGGTCTTTGGACCCTCTGATCGTCAGGGGGATACCTGTTATAAAAGGCAGGTCCCGGGCTCATCCTCAGACCTACTGTACGAGGATATTTGGGCCTTGGCGGGGCGGGCAATACATGTTTATACAAGCCATCTGTGGTGGTGACTGCCTTTAAAATTGAACCTCTGAATAGGAAGCACATTCTCGTTTAAAATTGTAGATTTAAATTTTTCGTTAAAAATTAAATTATAAAAATTAAAAAATATGAAAGTACACAGTGAATATGGTTCCTTCCACCTTGCCCCCATCAGCCAGGTTCCTTTCCCAGACTTTCTTTACACACACCTCAGAAGATGCTTCACTGACGTTTGAGAACCCCTGCCACCATCACCTTCTAACCTCAAATACCTGACCCTCATTGATAGCTTCCGTTTCTTTTCATTTCCACAAGCCTCATCCCCCCACCCCAAATTCCTACCAAACATCTCCTTCATCCTCAGAGTCAGACAATTCTAGAGACTGGAATCTATAGCAGGAGTATATTGAACTCCCACCATAGGCCCCGCTTTCTAGGAGGGGAAAATCGGACACAGCACTGAGCCCCCAAGCTCTTAGAACCTAGTTGGGGAGGCCCATCACATACCTGCACAGAATATGTTGCCAGCATCTCTTGTACTCATTTCCTTTTGCTGCTATAACAAATCACCATGAATTTAATAACTTAAAACAACACGTTTATGATCTTACAGTTTTATAAGTCAGGAGTCCAAAAACGGATCTCACTGGACTAAAACGAAAGGATTAGCAGGCCTGCCCTCCCACTGGAGGCTCAAGGGGAAAATGCATTTCCTTGCCGTTTCCAGTTTCTAGAGCCACCCACATGCCTTGGCTCATGAGCCTCTTCATCCTCAAAGCTAACAATCACATTACTGTGACCTCTGCTTTTGTCGTCCCATCTCTTCACTCCCTGACTCTGCTGCCTCCCTTTCCCCCCTTATAATGACCCTGGTGATTAGGAACCTGGATAATCCAAAATAATTTCCCCATCTCAATATCCTTAACATAATCACATCACCAAAGTCTCTTTTGCCATGTAAGGTAACATACTGTATTCACAAATTCTGGGGATTAGGACATGGACATCTCGGGGGAGCCATTATTCTGCCTACCACACCTCTGGAATGTAAACTCCATGAGCAGGGACTGTACCACTTTCGTTCACACCAATACCTAGGCAAGTGCCTGGCACATAATGGCCCCTTAGTAAACATTTGTTGAAAACATGAATGTGATTTTGAATCTTTTCCAGAGTTGCATGTAGGTAGCTTTTATTTCTGTGCATTTAAAATATACATTTAGAAAATATCTACAAGGTAAAAATGATAAGAAATAGAAATGTATTTTTTAATGAACATATTGATACACATTTCATCAAGTTTATTGATTAACCAATTTCTTACAATGGTTATAATAGTATTTGATTCCAAGAGAGGGAAACATTCATTATTGATATACTATATGGGCTCTTTTATTCCATTCTTTAAAAATTATCAAGGTTGGGGCTGTCAAAATTATATGTTTATCATGGGAAAAAAAATTCAACTCCCCAAGTCATCATGTCGAAAAGAATTGGAGTACTTTCTTTAGAATTACTTGAAAAGACAACTGAAAGATTATTATAGAATGCTTGTATTTTCCTTTGTCTCTGTGGAACCAGTATATATATTCCTGGCAGCTATTGTATTAAAATAAAGTATATTTTCATTATCAAAATTAAAAGAAAAAAATTAATGTGAGTGACTGAAGGTAAGCACTAAACAATGATCAAGCGCAAGAAATCTAGGCAGGGCATAATTAACTAATTGCCTGATGAGTGATGTAAACCATTGTAAACCACATTTGCCTCATTTCAGAATAGTCTAGGAGCTTCTTAAAAATGAAAAAGACCCCAGACTCCACTCCTAGCCCATTAATTTAGAATCTTGGGATTCTATTTTTTAACGAGAAGTGATTTTAATGTGGTGAGCTCAGCGACCCAGCCCTCCTCTGGGAGCCGCTGATGGAGAGAGTGAGAGTTGGACGTTCAGAGGAGGGAGGCAGCCCCACAGTTCAGCGTGCACTGCTGTGGTTGGCTTCTCAGAGCTGGCTGGCTGGGATAACACTCCAGGCAATGGGAACAGCATGTATATAGCCCAGAGGGAAGAAGTAACATGGCAGGTGAGGAAACTGTAAGTATTTTGTGGTCTGTAAGTAGTAGGTGGAGTGGTGGGTTTTGAGGTTAGAAATGTTCTGAACATAAAGGGCCTTGCCTGCTCTGCTAAAACGGCTGTCCCCCTACCTGTGGAGCCAGGCGAGGGAAGGAATTAATAGTTCTGTGTTCTAGACATGTGGCCAGGGTAATAGTGTAAGGGTGAAGTGCCTAGGAAAAGACTAGAAAGCAGAGAGATCATTGGGACAAGTCCTTTACCTCCCTGTGCCTTAATTATTTCATTTATAACATGAAAACGGCAGTGATATCTACTTTATGTGTTGTGATGAGGACTTGGTGCTCAGAAGAGTGCCTAGCACATAGTAGGTGTTCAATAAATGTCTGCAAGTATGATTAGTAGCAGCAGAGCAAGAGGTGATGAGGGGAGGCTGAAAGGTGGTTCAGCTGAGGCAGTGAGAATGGAAACGAGGAATTTGATTCAAGAGATATTTAAGCTATTTGAACCTTAAAGGTCGGGTAGTAATTAATTAACTGGGCACACAGAAAGGAGGAGAGCAAAAATATTATGGGTGGGCGTATTAGGAGTATTGGAGAGTAGGGAGCATGAGATTGTGCAAGAAAATAGTGAGGAAATAATTATGTAGCTTGGGCTCAGGTTGTACAAGAAGGTTAAGAGCAGGCTGAAACTTTTTCTTTATTGTGGAAGCAATATGGAGCCATTGAAGGATTTTACATTCAGATAGGGTCACCACTTCCTTTGTGACTTTGGGCAGATTCCCCTAATTCAATAGAACTTTCTGCCATGAAGAAAATTTTTTGTACCTGTGCTACTAGTCACATGTGTCTACTGGGTATCTGATACGTGGCTAGCTGAATTTTTTATTGTTTTTTATTTTAATTTAAATAACCACATGTGGCTGGTGGCTACCGTATTAGCACAGGAGCTAATCTATATAATGTTGCTCCAACTATATAATGAGAATGATGATGATACCTCATAGGCTTGTTATAATCATCAAGGTATATTGAGATTCTCTAATTAAAGCATTCAACACAGTAATTCAACAAATTTTTATTGCTGTCGTTGAAATGGTTGCTATTGTTATTATTGAACAGGAGCTGTATGACCTAAGCCATGTCTTTGGAAATTGGTTAGACTGTGATATCCAGGTTATATTTGATGGGAAAGAAACTAGTAGAAGAGAAAGCATTCACAAGGCTATTTCAGTCGTAAGGTGTGGGTTACTCAAGATCTTACCTGGAGAAAGGCCATGAGAATGGGAAAGAATGGAATGATTATGGAGCTACGAAGCACACGGTTGTGCACCATACATACATACACTTCTTCCCATATCAGCTTCCTTTCCAAGATACTTTCAAACAGCACACTTTCATCCCAACCCAAGACAGACATCACTGCCCACCCCTCACCCCTAAGACAGACAGCTACACTCCCTGCCTGCAGCAGAAATTGCTAATGCTCGCCATTAGCTGCTCTACTGGCACATGACCTACCAAATTTGAACTTTAAACACCTCCCAGTTTCCTTGCAGTTCAATTGGTGCCATGGGATCAAGTTCTGAACAATGGAATCAAAGCAGAAGCGATGTATGCCACTTCCAGGCCGGACCCACAAAAATCTCCCAGGCATCCTCTCCCTCTTCCCATTCTGTGATGATCTTAGAGGACACATGTTGAAGACAGAAGCATCAAAAGATGGAAAGAGCCTGGGACCCTTGAATAAATGAATGGAGCAGAACCATCTGTTCCTTCCCCAGACCCTCATCAGACTATAACATGAGTGAGAAATACACTTTTGTTGTGCTAAGCCACTGAGATGTCAGGGTTGTTTATTACAGCTTAACCTTACTGCCCTCATTCCATTTCAGGTCATGTAAACGTATCTTATGAGCATATGGGTAACCTGTTTGAACTATCAATCCCTCTGAAGTCACTTTTTTTTTTTAAAAGATTTTTATTGGGGAATTGGGGGAAGGGGAACAGACAAGTTGCTGTCCTTTTGTTGTTCAGTCTAGCTGTGGAGGACGTTGCTTCACTGGCCCTAGTTGGCACCATCATTGAGTTCTTCCTGGGGGAGGCAGATCAGTCTCCGGCTTCTGGACGGCCACTCATGGCAGCTGCTGGCCGGTCACGCTGGCTGCTGGCTACACACGGTAGCCCATGGTAACCCACCTGCCCTCGCCGGAGACTCAGGGCAGCCCAGCTCCAGGTTGAGCTGTTGTTCAGCATCTTAGCTGTAGAGGGCAGTGTCACTGGCCCTCATACATGGGATCCGAACCAGGACCCTCTGGCGTCCCAAGCCAGCTCTTAACCAACGCACCACTCAGCCGGCCCTGAAGTCACTTTTGAATTGGGCCCCACCAATATTAAGACAGACCCTAACTCCCACCCGCAGAGATCTTGCCTCCTAAGACATTTCTTCCTCACTTCCCCAAAGCAGGCACATTCCAGACATATACGTCCTCCCACAATTCTACGTCAAGGTTACCCCCATCGAGTTATATTTCAGTTGATTGAGTTTATTGGACTTGTCAGGGCTTCCTCCTCTCTGCTCCTTAATCTCCACACAGAAGGATGTCATTTGGGGCATGTCCTTGTTTACTATGGCTCCAGCCCCCAACCTAGGCGTTATTATGGAGTCCTCCCTTTCCTTCACTCCCTACATCCAATTCATCAGCAGGTACAGTTGGGTCTGCCGTGTCCTTTCTCTACATTTCTCTGCCACCGCCTTAGTCCAGCCACCATCATCACCTCCAATGCCCTCCTGCAGCGGCCTCCTAACTGGGTTTCCTCTGTTCTTTCTTTCTCTTCCAATTCAGTCTCCACCCAGCAGCTGTCGTGATCTTTAACAATAACAACCAGAACATGGTACTCCCGTGCTTCAACTCCTCCAGTCGCTCCCCAGAGCTCTTAGGGGGAGCTGATCAGGGCCTTGCCAACTACAGCAAGTCTCAGCCTTGCCCATTTCACTTCCCAAACTGGCCCTCTTCCTGTTTCTCGAAGGTGCCTGGTTTGTTTCTGCCTCAGGGTCTTTGTACTTTGTGCCTGGAAAGCTCTTCTCTGAGTGCTCGTAAGATCGAACCCCTCATCATTCTAGCCTCAGCTCAAATGTTACCTCCTCAGAGAGGGAATTCTGTTTTCCGTATCTAAAGTACAATCCCTCACCTGTTCTATTTCCCGTAGCACTTATACTAGGTAAAATCGTCTTAAGTATTTATTTAACCTTTCCACCCACCCCCTTTCCACCCCGTCACAATATAACCACCATGAGGACAGGGGCTTTATATATTAGGAACTAATGTCTCTTGGTTCGTCCAGGGCTGCCCTGGTTTTACCATTAAAAGTCCCACATCCCATGAAACCTCTCCGTCTAGGGCAAACTGTGATGGTCAGTCACCCTATTTCCTGTTTTGATCACTTCTGCATTCCCAGTACCTAGTCTAACACCAGGTGCATAAGTAGAAACTCAATAAATATTTGTGCAATGAATAAAGAAAGAAACATGACTGGCTGTCCGGAAAGAATTCTTTGATCCTGGCTCTAGGGGGCAGCCTTCCCCAACCTTGTGCCATGAGACCCAGCTTTGCAAAGTTGGGCTAAAATCTTCTGTACATGAATTTATGTGGTGAGTTCCACAAGATTCTCCCCAGAACTTACGTAGTTCCCTTGCCCACCCCTAGCCCTTTTGGAGTTCAAGGCTGAGGACCCTGGTTAAGGCAGCCCGAGGCTGTGCCTGACACAGAGGTGGATCCCCTGTTCTCACTCCACCTGGGCCCCCCTCCTGCAGCTTTGTCTTCCTCCTGAGGTCAGGCTTACAGACCACAGAGCAGAAAGGACTATTCTCGAGAGGAGGGGCGATCACTGCAGGGAGAAGCCGGCTAGCCCTTCACGAGCATCCCAGCTGCCCAGGCTGTAGGAAGGCATCCTGAGTTGAGGGCTCAGATCCAGGGGTCACTTTGGTACCCCAGAGCTACTTCTTAGGGCTATGGCTGCCTTCTGCCCCTAAAGGGGGATAGCTTCACTTCTCAGGGCTAGAGTGAAAGTGCTCAGAGTCTGGCTTCTCTCTCAGACCCACTTCCTCTGCCTGCCCGCTGACAGAGGGGGGTCCACACAGGGGGCAGGGTGCAGAGTGAGAAGATGCTGAGCGGAAGCGACAGGCTTCGAGCTCAAGTGCTTAATGCGCATCCGAGACAGGGCAAGAGGCAGCAAGGTGGGGGAGAGCGGACACTTGCGTCTGTTATCACAGCTGCAGTGGCATTTGGGAAGGCAGCGTGGAGGGGCCCGGGCCTGCTCACCTCTCCTAGTGCTCTCCGACGACTTCCATCTCCTGACCTGAACACCCCTACTCAAGGTACCTACTCCAGCTCTTTTTTCCCTTTCACTGGGAGGTGGTTGTTGGGTGAGGGGAGGGGAGACAGAGACAGGAAGAGAGGGAGAGAGGTAAAGCCTGCAGTTAACCTCCATGTGGGCTTGCACCTGGTGCAGTGGGGAGGGAGAGAATACTAAGGCTGAGGGCAGGAGGGGCGGACATTGACTCTTCCTAAAGGACAGAGCCTGGCACAGTGATTAGTATATAGTTCCCCTTTAGATTAGAATTTGGGGGTTGGGTTTATTGAAGGAGAAAGTCACCACAGAGGCATAATCAATACATGTGGATCCTTCTCTAGTCCAGCTGCAAGGGCACTGGGTAAATTAAATGGACTAGAAAGTAGGGCTGTCATCTGTGCTCAGTCCAGAGCATGGGACCCAAGAGTGGCACCCTAGAGAGGTTCAAGTGGCCATATGGGAGGTGCTTCCTGGAGGAGGAAGAGGATGGACTGGCAGTGTGGAGGGATGGAGATTGGTCAAGAACTGGGTGGAAAGGTACCAGGAAGAAGAGAGATCTGGGGGAGCCATGAAGGAGGTAAAACTAGTTTACCTACTATTTAACTCAAGAAACCTCTCCTGAGGGCCCTCTGTGTCCAAGGTCCCGACTACGCAAGTCATGCAGCCTTGAGCAAAGCCAAGCCAATTCCTGCCCTCTGGGAGCTTACATTCTTTTGGAGGAGGGATCACTAATAATAATTAGGCAATGATTTAATTTCAGTTGTGGTGAGTGCCAGGAGTTTGACAGAGAAATAGGGGGGAACCTTGGCACAGGCTGGGGCTCTAAGAGGGGAGGAGAACCAGGCTGGGGCTGCTGCGGCTTTGCCTGGCACCCAGGGGCCCAGCAGGCACCCTCCGCTATGGCCTGAGGAGCCTGAGCGGTGGGGTGGAGGGTGGGACTGAAGTCTCAGGGAAGATTAAGTTGGGATTCAGGCCTTCCAACGCCTGAATTCAATGCCTCTGCTAGGAGGGGCAGCCAAGAGCGGGGAGAACTTCCCAGAGGCCTGAGGTGGGGCATCTGAGCAGCAGGTGAAGCCTCTCCATCAGGGTGGGAAAGTCTGACCAAGAGGAAAGGGAGTGACCTGTGGCTCTCAGTCAGAACTGCAGACTCCCCTCTCTTTTCCATTGCTCTCCACTTCCTGCTCTGGACCCTGTCTTTGCAGCCTTCTCTGGGCTTGCACTGTGTCCTCTCTGGGGGGCGGAGGAAATGGGCTGTGTGTCTGGTGCCTGCAGGTCTTTGGGTGTTCAGCTTCCTCTGTGGCCCCCACACTTCCTGAGTGGGATGTAGGGGCAGGATGGGGGTCTCCTCTGATTCTAGGAAGGGGCTTCTCTCCCCGGCCTGCTGGCCTGATTACCCACATCCATGCCCCCTCCTCAGCCAGTGCTCTAGATCCAGATAGAACCAGGTATCTATGAACAGGGGTCAGGGCTCACTAGGACCCCTCCCTCAGGCCCCTGCAGCTGCCCTGCCAAGTCTCTGAAACATGAGTCTCAGTTCTAAACAAGGGCCATCATCCCAGGATGGGCTGGAAGATGGGAATGTTTGAGACTCAGGTTTGGGAAGGCTGGGAATTTTGGGAAGAGAGAAGGAGGAGGAGGTAGTGTGGGTGGTCAGCCCTGGGGAGGCTGGGGAGTGGTGCAGTTGCATAAAGCAAGTGCACACGGAGAACTGGGGCAGAGGTGCAGGAGTGAGGGAGAAGGAGAGACACTCTGAGGCTGAGGGAAAGCGCCGGACTGGAGCTGCCATTTTAGAACACGGATCACTCAAGGTCAGATGCAGTGTCTCCTGGGTACTTGTAACACACACACACCCACACAACACATCTGCCTTGAGAAGCAGCAGCTGGAGGGAGAAATCGGCTACTCATTTTTGCACGTTCATATGACACCAAGATTGCTTGGTAGCGGCCTGTTCCCCTCCCTTTAGCACAGCTCCTGACCTGCCCCTGCCTTTTCTCCTGCTCTCCCAGTCTCTCCTTACCCGAAAGTCACCACCGTCACCACCACCGCAGGTCTGCTCAGTGGTTGTTGCCTTACCCTTGTCACACATGGGTGGTTTGAGCACCAGCCAGAAGAATGTGCCTCCAGGAAAGTGTGGGGTCTCTGCTCTTGCTTCGGTCATCTCCCCACTGGCTGCCAGCCTTGTCTAGCCCTCGTGAACCCCCCTCTAGCTTACCTACCTCCCCCACCTAGAGAAGGCAGAAGCCCGACTCTCCTCTGCCTCCCCGCTCCATCACTGTCCTAAGTGGCTCATGAGTGACTGGCTGTGACCTACTCTTTAGGGAGGCTTGGCTCAGTACCCACAGCATTCCAGCTCCCTGCCTCTGCCCCCACCCCAGGAATGGGCAGGGAGGAGATGGGAGAACTGAACTGGAACCACCCTTGGGGGAAGGAGCCTGGGCAAGCATCAGAGGACCTTGAATCTTCAAGAGCCAGAAGGTAGAGCCCATGTGAGGGCCAATGACGTCTCTTCTCAGTCCCTCTCCATGGCAGTCGACCACGGCCAAGGTAGATTCCAAGGAATGCTGAAGGAGGCTGCAGCAGCCAAGGTACCAGGCACAGCCCTCACATCCCCTGGTATCCAAGTTGGCCCTTTCTGCAGGAGGCCAGGCCCACTGGGGCCTGTTAGTTAAAACTTCTTCCAATCTCCCACTCTCCATCCCACCAGTCAACCTCAAATGACACAGCTGAGTCTGTGAGCAAAGTTTGCAGCACAAGAAAAAAAAGAGAAAAGAGTTGGAGAGAAGAAAGTAGCAAGGAGGGAGGGAGATGGAACGGAATGTCCTGTAAATGAACTGAAAAACCAGCCTCCCTGCCTTCTACCCTGCCCTGGCTGCATGCCCTCAGCAGGCACCAATGGACTTCCCATTCATTTCATTTCTACCCATATTCATTAAAGCACCTACTTTATGCCAGACACTGTGCTGGGTGGGGAGACTCAACCAGATTGCTGTGTTAGGGAGATAAAAGAAAATCCCACTGGACTCCATGGTCCTGAAGCCTAGTATCTGCTCAGTTTTAGTTCTCCAGTGTGCAGCCAGAGTTCCGAGCACATACAGTAAGTGTTGTAGAATAAATTAAAGATTTCTGCGGCATTACATAGGAAGGACTTAGGAAGGCAAGGTTGAGAGTAGTGATCAGGGAGGCAGTAGAAAAAAGTGGTGAAGAGTGTGGGCTCTGCAGTCAGACTGCCTGAGTCTGGCTCTGCCTAATTCAGTGTGTGACCTGGAACAAGTTACTCTACCTCTCTGAGCCTCAGTGTCCTCACTTGCAAATAGGGATTGTTCTGAGGATTATGTCTATAAAAGATGATGTCTATAAAAGACCGGACATCATGCCCTGCACGTAGTGCTAGAAGAGACCATCGCTGGGCTAGAGCAGGTGCAGTGGGGATGGGGCATTCAGGGATGGATGCAACAGATCATTCATGCGTTGACTCGACCTGACTTGGTGGCTGATTAGATGTGGGAGATGGAGGGAATGAGGTTCCTTGCTTAGGCAGTGGTGGGGCTCCTGGAGCAGGGAGCTGAGAGGGCCAGGGCAGGAGGAGGGGCAGGCCTGGGTGGGAAGGGAGTTTTAGACCCACCTTGTGAGAGGCACCTGTGAAGCTGTGGGCTCAACAGTATACAGCTCAGCAAAGAGGCCTGGGTGGGAGGAATACAGCCCCGAATCAAAGTCAGGGGCTGAAAAGTCCTTCTTACCCAGTTACCCTCCTTGACTATTCCTTGGGAGACTCCGCAGTCCCTTACCACCTGCCTAAAGGGAATGGGGCAAAAAACTTGCATGGGTAACTGTGTTAAGGGGCCCTGCTCTTCAACTTCCATCATCTGCCTGCTCCTTTCCCACCTCTGCAGCCTGTGCACCAAGGTGTGGGGGAAACGCCTCTGGATGTGGGCTTTTCCCTCTTGGTGGGATCTGTCAGTATATTTGAGAGGCAGGACTGCAGAGTGGTAAACCACACAGACGCTAAATGCTTGGGGAGAATCACTCACGGCTCCACATCTTCCTAGTTGTGAAATCTTGGGCATGTCATTTGACCTTTTCATTCTCAGCTTCCTCATCTGTAAAATGGGATACAACAATAAAATCACAGGATTGTTGTAATGATGAAATCAGGGAATATATATAAAGTATCAAGAATGGGCCTGGTGCATGTTAACTATTATTATTATTATTTATCCATCTAACACACCTGCCAGGCATCTAATGACAGTCAGGGGAGGGTGGAGGCTGCACCAGGGCATGGCATTATTGTGTCCAGGATGACTCACCACCTGGCTTGGGCTGTCTTCCTCGGACACACTCCCCTAGTCTCCTGCCTGCTCCAGGCCTCAGCCTCAATCAAATATCTACTGAGCAGTCATTCCACAGCCCAGCCCCCACCCAGGAATCCTGAGGCCTGGAAATCTGCCCCATCATCCGCCTTAACAGGAAGCAGGGGGCTTTGCCTGCCAGTTATAAGAATGAGGCAAGTGGAAGGTACAACCTGGGTGGTCTCCCCTGGCTACCAGTGAACAGGTAATCACGCCAGGCCATCTTCTCAGTCTCTGCAGGAGAGGAGAAATGAGAAAGAGACATCAAAAAGAAAGGCAAAGAAAGGATAGTGTTGAGGGGAAACAGATGGGGGGAAAGTGGGTTTGGGACACCTTCATTTTCACCGATTTAAATGACTTTCGTTAGATCTTTGCACCCACCCCTCAATTTCTCTTTCCTTAGTTTCCTCTCTTAGACATATTGTTCAGATTAGAAGAATGAATACGATGTATACACAACACAGTATAGCATGGGGTTAAGTAAAGCCAGGCAACGTGGGTTCAAGCTCCAGCTCCATCATTTACTAGCTGTGTGATCTGGGCAAGTTACTTAATACCTCTGAGCCTCAGTTTCACCATCTGTAAAGTGGGAATAACAGCAGTACTACTTCATAAGGTAGTAGCAGAGATTACATATATGTGAAGCACTTGGAACCGTCCCAGGCATTTCCAGGCTATTGTGGTCCACTGAGAGGCCTATGGAAGCAGGTGTCCTACCTCACTGCCCAGTTCCTTTTCTACCTGCTGAAAGTTGGGGCAGTATGAATAGGAAATGGGGGACCCCTTTCTGACCTCACTGACAATTTTTGGGAACTCTCCTGCAAGAGCTTCTAGTCCAGGTTACTGGCCACAGCGACTTGAAACTTCAACTCACTCCCCCACCCCACCCCTAACTCCCTCTGAACATTCTTCCCCAAGCACACCTGTGACCCCGTTATCCCCTCCTGCCAGTATCCGAACTGTTCTTTCTTCTTCCAGATTCCCAGAACTTGGGTGGGTGGTTTTGGGCTTGGAGCCAGATTCATTCTCAGGTCCCTCTCCTTCCCTGGAGGGGCATTTAAAACTCCACCATTGTTTCTCAAAGTGTGTACACAGCAGATAACTTGGGGGTGTTTATTCGAAATACAGATTTTCCATTTCATACCAATAGGACTACATCTGAATTTGGGGGAATGGAACTTGGATTTTGATAAGCTCCTGGGAAATTTTTAAAAAGTACACATTAAAACTGAGATTTTAATGACAATTAATCCCCCCGCCCAGCTCCAAGAAAATAATCATCGGTGGAAGACGGGGGCTCAGCGTCCCAGATCAAGGGGATGGATTGTTAGAGATGTGTTTTCTCCAGTCCAGGCAGGCTCAGCAGCAAAGGAAAAGCGACAGAGATGGGGCCAAAAGGGAGCAAGTCCTAGAAAGCCGGGGGGCGGGGCGTATGCCTCTTTCCAAAACCCTGGTTAACTTGCTGAGCAATTACCCGGCGCCGCGGGAGTCGCTGTCGCGGAGCCACTGTCTCTCCGCCCTCTCAGAAGCAGGAGTGGGGTGAAAAGGGCAGTGCTGGGCCACCTGCGCCGTGGTGGAAACTGAGGCCTGAGGAGGCAGCAAAGCCTTGGTACAGAGCCTGCACCGGACTTCAGTCCCAGGGCTGCACCTCCACCCTCCAGGCAGCCAGGGAGAGCGCAGTGTGGGGCGTGACTCTCTAAAACCCGCTTATTTCTTGAAGCTCACCCACAGCTCTGGCCCCATCCATCCCGGAACGCAGTCCTTTTCCAGCCTCAACTTCCCCAACCGCGCCCGTGTGTGTGTGTGTGTGTGTGTGTGTGTGTGTGTGTGTGTGTGTGTGTGTGTGTGTGTGTGTGTTGGGGGGGGCAGGGAATGGGGGGATGGGATGTGTGTATGAAGCGCAGCGCTGGGAGGCTGGGCAGTGCAGTGGGATTCCCCACGGGAAAGCAGCCCAATCCCTCCCCTGGGCTGTTCGAGACCCTGAACCGAAACAGGAGGGAGACGCCCCCGGCCGGGAAGCGGCCCCAGCCCGGATTTCCCTCCCGGGTGGGGCTGCAATGACTCACCCCCCTCCCCCTTCCCCCGTTTCCTTGTTTGCATTTCTCCTCACGGCCACGTGGCGGCGGGTGCAGCCACTCACTGCCCCTACCCGGACACCCTGGCCCTGCAGCCCCGGCACACACCCCAGGGCCGCTCCTGCCCCCTGGGTTTTCTCAGGGCTCCGGCTCGTGCCCGCTCTGCTTACTCTAGAGTCCCGACTCTACCCCTGCACGTCCCCTGCCCAAGGCCCTCCCGGACCGTAAAGGCGGGCACCTCCTCTCCGCCCCCTCAGCCTGTCCGGGGAGGAGAAGGGGGCGGGCAGCTTAGGGGGTGTGACAGCTCCCGCTCGGACCAGTGCCAGCTGTAGCCTCGCTTCATTGCCCCGTGCCAGCTGGCTCTTTGGTCTGGGACAGAGGCGGAGGCTCGGGGCTCCTTGTCGCTGGTGGTGGTGGTGGGGGGGACTTCCCCCCTTCCCCCCAGCCTTCTACCCACCCAAGAGGAGCCTCTCCACCCAGCCCTGCTTCTGGCTGGTCTGGCAGCCGGGCCAGCTCGGAATTGGCCCTGGTTACTGCGTCTGGGACTTAGAACCCGCACCTCTCCAGGACCCCTTTATTGGAGCTGACCGGGGCTCGCTGGGGGTCCCCCCAGCCTTTGCTCGAGCCTGAACGGCTAGGCGAGCTTGAGAAGGAACATGAAGGTGGGTAAGGGGGGCAGGGGCAAGGAGAGCAGAAGAGGAAGCTGACACGGTGGGGAGTTTGGGTGGGAGAGAGAGGGTTGGTCAGGGGTGAGGGAGGGGGAGAGAAGGTTTGAGCTAAAGCTGCATTTCTGGGGGATCCAGTGAGCCCATAGCTTCATGTTGGGAGGTGGTGGAGATCCTCGCAGGGACTTCGGCAGCCGGGTGGGGCAGAAGTCCAAAGAAGACCGGGAAGGAGGGCCGATCTCCCGCCAGCTGGAGACCCCTAAGTGCGCCAGACCGGCAGGCCCCAGTGAAGGTCTTCCTGTCCCTCCCCTCCGGCTCCTGGCAGGATTGCAGCACCTCCGCCAGACCAGTCCAGAGGACTCTAAGGAAGTGGTGCTGCCTGGGATAGTTGTGCCCTGGTCCAGCTGCCCCAGCCCCATGGTTGTCCGCTTTCCTTCCCACGTCACAGGTGGGCTGGCCAGGTGACAGCCGCTGGCAGGTGGACCTGGCTGTGGAGGACAGCCCAGCTCTGGAAGCACCACAGGTGGGAGGCCTTCCGGACGTGGTACCGGAGGGGACGCTGCTCAACATGGTGCTGAGGAGGATGTACCGGCCCCGAAGCTGCTCCTACCAGCTGCTGCTCGAGCACCAGCGGCCCAGCCGCATCCAGGGGCTTCGCTGGGTGAGTGCCCATCACTTGCCCAGGTCAGGGACCAGGGCTGGAGGGGGGCCTGGATTGGGAGCACGGGCATGCTGCTGGTGGCCCAGCTTACTCTGGGGGTGTACTGCCTGGTGGACAGCGGGTCAGGGAGCTTGGGGTGCTTGGCTGCAGTGTGCGTGGGTGGCTCACGCAGCTGTACTGTGTGTCTGCATGCGTGTGGTGCCCAAGTACCCCCATGCAGGCATGAGGGAAGAGGCAAGGGATTTGTCATTTATCCGTCACCTCTGTGTACCTTGAGTTAGGTGCTTGTGTGTTCTCCAGGGGGGTAGGAGGCATGCATGAAATACTGGGGGCCAGGTCAAGTTGGGGGTGAGACAAGCTTGGTTACTGTTCCAGATACATTACCGTGGCAACATTCTCATTTGACTGCATGGATTCTGCTTTTTGATCTTGGGGTGAGGTGGTCATGTGAACACTGATTGACGTATAGCTTCGGGGTGCTCAGGGAAGGATTCTGGGAAGTTTGGAGAATCTGAGATGACCAGAGCTCCTCTTGCCAGTGAAGAATACCTCTGGAGCTGCAAGGATGAAGGAGGGAGTGGGGGAGGGGGAGAGGGGAATGGTGTGGTAGGGTACAGGATAATGGTTGCAGGATCCAAATCAGCAGAGAAGCTTTCTCCAGCCACCCAGACTTATAGAGGGACTTCACCTGAGATTCATCATGTGTCATATGTGTGCCCACCTGTGTGTGGGGCTACTTGGGTAAAGGGGTGGAGGGATGGAGGGAAAGCAGGACAGACTTGGGAGAGCTCATCTCTTCCGGGCAAGTTCCACTGAGTAGAATGACCACCACCTTCCTCTCTCAACCACCATTTATATTTACCAAAACATGAGGCTGAGAAAACTGAGCCCAGCCAACACGAGGAGGTCCTCCTCGCAATCAGAATTGAGAGGATAATCTAGGCAGTCCCCCAACTCCTCCCTCCCAGGGTCTTCCTGATAAGAGGCCTCTTGGGCCTGGGTCCTGCTCAAGATGAGGCTCTGCAGCGGGCAGGGATGCTGGTCACTTCTGGGCTTCGCTGTCCCCACTGCCCCCTTCGAATCACTGGCAGTAGCTACTGCTTGGAGCCAGTGGGCTGGAACACTCCCTCCCTCCTTCCCTCTCAGGCTATAATTACTTGTGCATTTCCTGTCCCCTTCCCAGCTTGTAGAGGCAAGGTGGGGAGTGGGGGGAAGGTCAGGTGCCAGGACAATGAGGTCACTAGAGGATCCCCTGGGATTGAAAGCCTGGGAGGGGATGGATGAGGCCGCCAGGCTGTCTCCTGACTCCCCAAACCTCCTCGAGTGGAAGGGCTGGTGTGCTTGGGGAGACCGGAAGGGTGGGGGTGAGGGTTGCTGGAGTGTAAATGGGGTCAAAGGCACAGAAACAAGGCCCCTCCCCTGCCAAGTAGGGGGGCAAGTGGAGATTGGTGATTAGAAGGAACTTAGATTTTTAGGGCTAGGGGCAGGGGCCACACCCTCTCCTAATGACCAGCCCTGAGGAATGGGGGTGGGGTGGCTTCAGCCCATTGCGTCTATGTTTAAGAGGCTCTGGGTACCTGTAAAACTGTACCTCTCATCTCTGGATGATGCCTTTGACCCACGAAGAGCTCACGTGCGGGACAAGTGCCAGGCGGGGGGTATGCACATAAAGGGTGAAGGGTGGATGTTGTGAGGGGTGGAGCCCAGTGTCCTAGGAGGACAGTGCTGGGAGTTATGCATGTCATGCCTGCCTCTTAGAAAACCAACGGAGAAACCCATCGACCTCCTGAGGCCTGAAGAGAGCACTTGCTGTTCCTACTAGACCAGGACAAGTGAAAATGAAAGCAGGTTACAGCAGGAGGGCCTGAGGTTAAACATAGAAAGGACTTACCAACTCTGGCAAAGATGACACTGGAATGGGATGGAAGAACATCTCTTTTGGAAACCATGACAGGGAGAGGAGATTGTCTGTGTCTGGGAGCAGCAGAGGGATCAGTTTGTCTAGAGGCAGGGGCAAGATCAGGGTGATCCCTGGTGGGTCCCATGAACTCAGAGAAGCATGGACGCTGCTCTTTGAGTGATTGTTTTGGGGGTAGTGTCTCTGTGCCCTAACTCAGAACACATGCTTTCATCCAACCTGTCCAAATAATGGTAGTGGCTAATAGTTACCTAGTCTTTATGTCCCAAGC